TGGCTTGCCGCTAAGGTCTTTTTGATTATACATATCTTAGCTAATCGATGTCCAAATACCAGAATGTGAGGCCGGCTGTCTATCAGAGTTAAACTTTTGACAAGGGAACAGATTTCAAACTGATGTGCGTTAGTCATGTAGCTAGCTATAGAGCTTGCAACTTACTAGTAACAGCTGCCCAATGCCATGTGAAGTAACAAACTGATTTTTTTTTACTTTGGTTTTAATGTTATGTAATGTATTTAAACTCTTATTTAAATAAAACTTGTTTTCAGAACAAAAGAAAGAAAAAGGGCATTCTGGATGTATAGCTTTCATTTAAACACATTTTCCAAGTTGTCAGCCTGTTATTAATCCGTTCTCTCTGAAAGTGATCTTTGTTTTTTTTGTTTTTTGTTTTTCTTTCTGATAATACATTCATTGTAGAAATTTCAGGAGAGATAGGAATATTTAAAAAAAAAATAGAAATCTGCTGTAAATTCTGGAAGGTAAATATGCTTTTGGTGTGTTTTCTTCCCCTTTTATCATTGCCCTTTCCTGCTCCTCTGAATTTGTATACTGGCCATTTATATTCACTTACAGACAGTATATAATGCTTATTAAAAATTGAGATTCATACTTCGATCCCTTACATTGCTATTAAATGTCTTCAGAAACAGGGTTTTTAATGTCTGTGGATTGTTCTGTTGTATGAATGTACTGTATTTTAACCATTCTCTTCTAACTTGAAATTTAAGTTGTTTTTATTTTCCTTCTAGCTTCTCAATACATATGCTTATATATAAATTTATGTATGTATTCCTGATAATTTTGTTAGGTTTTGAAAGTGTAGTTACTAGGTCAAAGGTACAAACTGCTGTTGATACATGTAATTTGCTGACATTCAGACAAGTTATATCAATTTACACGTTCCTATTAGGACGATATAGGAGTACTCTTTCCTATACAACCTGTCTAACCATAAACATTATTATTTAAAGGAAAATAACTTACTAGGCTAGAAAAACGTCTTGTTGTTTAATTTATATTTCTTAGGTTATTAGGTAGAACATTTTTCATATATATATATTTTTTAATGTGACTACTCTCAGTATGCTTTTATCAACATGGAATGAATCTAATATTTTGGGTATAATTTCATTGGGGAGAAGATTTTCAGAGGCCTGGTCAATTTTCATTAATGTCACTGATATATTAGGATACATAATACTTTTTTAAATTAATGTTTTAATTGTAGTATAATATATTCTTAATGGTGAACAAAGAGTGTGTAATGGGCATTTACTACTTTGTGCTTTTCTTCTTTAGTCAGTTATTTTAAGGGACTTCAGGAACTGTTTTCATGGTGCTCCATACATTCTATTCTGGTTTCTGATTATGTGGCATGAGCCTCTTGACAATTCCAATGGCCCCTGCTTTCTCATTTGTTTCTCTTTTTCTCCATCAACTCTGTGTCTGTGGAGTGGTAGTGTTGGCCGATGATAGACTGGCATCTTTTGATAGGGTTGGATCTTTGCTACCATAGCTGTCTTCTGCGTGTGACTCTTAAGGTTAGACATTCTTTCAGTTAGCTGTGAGAGTCATGTTTGACCTTTTGAATTGTCAGTAATAGTTGAAGAAAGTGCTAAATTTTTGTCAATAGTGAAAATAATTAATTTCTATTTTTCATTAAAATCAAATTCTTTAATTTCTCTTAGTTCAACATTTATGACACTTATGTAATTAAAATCCTTAGATGGTTTGCTGAATGTTTCATATGATATTAAAAATAAGCCATGCAAAGTTCTCAGATTATATCTCACCTTAAATCTTGATATTTCTATAGGAATTCCATCAGATGCAGGAGTTCGAACATCTTTTATGGCTCAAAGTAATTGAAATGAATAGCTGAAGACTTTTTGTGTGTGTATTAGTGAAATTTATGCTGGAAAGTGTGATTCTATCTTATTGAAAGTATGTAATCTTTAGTAAGGGTAAGTGAGAGGTCTTTTTTTGGTATTATGTGACAATTCGACATAATTTAGTTAACATTCTTAATTTTATTTAATGCCACTAAGATTTTCTGTTTTAAAGTTAAATTCAGATACCCCATACCTCATATACTCGTTAATATTTATCAGTTGATTACAATGTGTGTTCTGTTAAGAAAGACTGTGAAGTACATATACTTATGGCAAAAGGAAGAAAATATGGCCTAGATAGTTGTACACAAAATCATGCTAATAGTTATTATATTATATAATTTCTGAGGAGTTGGGGCAGAAGTAGAATTGGGTAGAGGGTGGGTGGAAAGGTACTAAGACTTTATAGTGTTCTAAATATTGTATTGAAATATTAGAAGCACACATGTCAGAATGGAGAATAATAAGAATATTTTAGAGCATATTCTTATAATAGGAATAATAAGATAATAGAATAAGAATAACAGAATAATAGAAATGGGAGAGAATAAGAAAAATAGTATTTATTCTAGGTGGTAGATACATGCATGCTGATTATATTAGTTTCTGTTCCATTTTATTATTGTAAATATTTTCCAAATCACTATTAATAACCATTAAATTATTAGTTATAATTATTTGTAGTCAAGTTGAAACTCAAATTGTCCACTCATGAGAAGAGTCTGATACACCATATACATCCATTAAAATTAAGTATAGATAATTGATTATTAAAATTTGGATACTCTTAGAAAAACCAAGTTGTCCCAAAGATAGTTATTTTGTTCCTGGTTCTCACTAACAACCAGTATAGTAAACATTTTGGCTTTTTCAATATCACCTTTTTTATTGTGCCTGATGACTTTTTCAATTCAGTTTCCAGAATTACGACTTGTTAAAATGAAAATTATTACAGTTTTAGCTATAGAATTTTGATATGAAAGAGATAGATCCTAGGCACAATTATTATTTTCTGTTATACAAGGAAAATGAATAAGGAAATAAAAACCCCTTTATTGTGAGTCCAATGGTTTGATTTGTTTTCAGGGTTCTTTATTAAATGTAGCATAGATATGTTACTTAGTTTTTTTTCCTGGTGCCTGGTAAAGATTTCATATTACTATGTATTTGATTTCTCCCCTTTCCTTGGTATTTTTTATGCTTCAATGAAATGAGAGGTTGGTTGAGGAGTCTGTAGACACATGTGAGCTGTGGCCTGCTGCTGCCTTTAGCAATTTTTACTGTTAAGATTGTTTAGTCTTAGTGTTTAAGGAACAGCAGAGCACAGTGTAATGAAGAGAATATTGAAGATAGAGAAGCCTTGCTGAATCTGGGTCTGCATCCTGGGAACTGCTACTTATTTATAATCACTGTATGGAATTGGACATGTTACTTAACATCTTAGTCTCAGCATCCTCTATAAATTAGAGGTTAATGATGCCCACTTTAATAAGTTGTTAATGAGCATTAAGTTGGATTGTCTCTGTGAGTATCCACATAGTACTTGGCATAATAGCAGGCACTCAGAAAATGATGAGCCCTCTTGCTTTCATTAATGGAAAACATTGGAAAGTACTTTGACTTGGAGAAATAGATTTTTAATCAGATGGCAGAGATTTATGTGACATACACACACGCAGAAATGATTTTCTAAGTTTACATGGTAAATTTTATATTTAAGATCTCTTTCTTTTTAACTTTATTCTTTAGGACTTAAACAGTGTGATCCCACAAAAGTAAAGCCAAACAATTGCTTCAGCCTTAGTTTCTTGTTCCTGTTTCCTGATGTGGGAGGGAATTACATCATGAGCACTATACTTTTGTACTTGTAGACAGGAGAAGTGGGGCCGGAACCAGAGAAGTTAGGTGTGGGAGGAAGCTGCGAGGCTCTGGCAGAGGAGAGACGTGAGTCTGGCAGGCTGTTCGCTAGCCCTGTGTCAGCTAGTGTCAAGTTGGATATTGCATTGATTCTTTTTTTGATGCTATAGGGACAGGCTGTATTTCACTTTAAAGAACATAAACTCACAACAAGGGTCTTTGCTTGTTTATTTAGTTTTATTTTATCTAATATTTCAAAAACATGAATGCTTTCATTTAATTCTCTAGGATCTATACATATTTAGCAAATTTCCTTTATCTTCCCTTTAGATGTACAGTCATGTACTTCCCAGATGCATTCAGAATAAAGATCCAAAAAGCCTAGAATATTCTAAGTCAATAAAAAAGGTTTCATCATACTGGATTTAATAAACCAGAAAAAAAATGGCCATGTAGATTTTAGGAAGATTATAATAATTAAAATTAAAGGTTAAGTTAACCACTCATTAAGCAGAAAATAGAATTTTTGGAATATTTAATAAACTTTCACATTTGATCAATTGAGTTTTCTCTGATACTTCTTTGTCCCAAATACATTTTGGCTTTTTCTATAAAAAGGTTTCCGAAACTTGATTTTGTCTTGAATGAAATAATTTCCTTTTGCATTAAATAGAAAATTGAGGTAATGTTGGAAAAAGGGCGTATTTAGAGATTTTTTTACTGCTGAAATTATACTTAGGATGTTTGACTTTCTAATTTGGCAGAGGTGTCGATGATGTCATCTTACATATTTGTTATTCTAGAATGTGTATTTCTGTTATAGCAATTGTTTAATTCTACTATATTTTAAATTAAGTTGCACGAGAGTGTTCACCATATACTGAATGAGATTCTCTTATTTTAGGTCATTCTATGTGTGTTGTATTTATTTAAAGATGCATCTATCTGATCTTGCAGCTCAGTAGAATGGACATCAAACTAATATTGAGACCTGTAAGTCCTACAGGATCTCTTGTGGTTTTTTTATTGTGGAGATACCAGTCTGTCTGTCCCATTTACCTGTTGGTAGGATTAAGTGAGATACTTAAAATGCTTTAAAATTTAGAAGCATTGCAAAGAAATAAGGATATTTGTTATTTGGAGTTGAAACAACTAAAATAATATTTGGGGAATTGCTCTCTTAAAGCAGAAAAAATCAAAGGAAGGAGAACTACATAAGGAAGTGACTTATGTTTTTAAACTATGTGTATAGAAATTACTATATGCCAAAGGACAAATGTAATAAATACTTCAAAAAATAAATAGCTAGATTAAGTTCTTACTCCCATGCTCTTTGTCATTTGATTGACCATAACCTGGATTTATTTTTAAGGATTCGTGTACATCAATGGCAGAATCCTCCAGTGATTCAGACCACTTCCGCTCTCGTGACCGATTGAGTCGATGGGCTGCCCGGTCAATACACAGGGAAATTCGAAGTCGTCCTACAGTAGATGTCACTGAGAAGGTCAACACTATAACGAGTACTTTACAGGTTAGTTTAGCTGTGGTTATATTTAATTGTTAAAGTTTAAACAGAGTAATAGTTTCAGTCAGAGTATTAGTTTATTTTTGCTGCTGTAACAAATTACCACAAAACTAATGTCTTCAATAGCAGAAACTTATTTTCCCACAGTTTTATAGGTCAGACTCTGACACTAGTCTCATTGGTCAAAAATTAGGATGTTGATAGGGCTGCATTCCTTTCTGGAGGCCCTAGGGAAATAGCTGTTCTCTTGTCATTTCTTGCTTTTAGAGGCTCCCCACATTTCTTGTCTTGTGGCCCCATCATCTTCAAAGCTAGCAAGGATAGTTGAATCCTCATATCGAATCACTCTGACTACCTCTTCTGTTTCCCTCTTCCACTTTTAAGGATGCCTGTGATTACATTAAGTACAGCAAGTAACCAGGATAATCCCCTCAAGAGCCTTAATTTAATCATATCTGCAGTATCCTTTTTCCCATGTAAGCTTCCAGGTGTTCAGAATTGAACATCTTTGGGGGCCATTATTTGCCTACCACAGTCAATAAGGATATTTGAAATATATGATAGGTTATGGAAAATGTTTTAGCATAAGGCAGTATTTCCAAATAAAATACTGTAGGAGTGAAACCAATAGGGATTACTACCATTTAGCTTCTTGTGGACATATGCCGTTAGAAAAGTTGCTCATATTTTGGCTTTGCACATTATTCATGGAAGAATAATATTGAGATGCCATTTTGATTTAGAGGCTAACCTTTGACAGTATTTGCAAGTTTGAGTGGAGAGTTTTCATCCTTCTCGTGGAAGGGATGTGGGCAAGGAGGTGGGAGAAGGGTAGCACAGTCACACTGGGAAAAAGAAAAGTCAGAAATAGAATTTTTTTTCTTACCCATTAATCCCTTACTTTTGCTTTGCCTGGTTAAGCATAGATTTTGGCTCTTAATTGCTTTGGGTTAGTATGCTTAGATAAGTAGAGGCTAATTTCTGGTAGAGAGGGCATAATTTGATTTGATTTTTCTTTTTAAATTTATTAAATTAACATAACAGTGGATTTGGGGAGTACAAATCCTTGTACTTTCCCATCGATGAGGCACATTAGTATGTATATATTTTGAAAGAAATGCCTCCATTAATCTCTCAGGTGAAACCTAGCTTATTTAGGTGGAAACCATTTTTGTTATGATTAGAATTAAATTTATTGTATATAGCTAAAGGTTAAAGGATACTTATTTTCCTTTTCTCTTCTAATGAAGTTCTGAGGTAAAATAATAATTTAAAAACGGATTCTAATGATTTGCTCCTCTTGTACACAGTCTATTAGATTTGTTCTTTGAGGATTCTTTTTTATAAAAAGGATGTGAATTGGTTGAGGCTGATTTCAGTTTATGGTTTTGTTGCTGACTTATTATGGAACCTTGGGTAAGGATTTAAATTATGTGCTTCAGATTTCACACAAGTAAATTGCAGATGGATTCAAGTTTCTCTCTGTGGAGTTAATAAGATTTAGTTGATATTTATGAAGTATATTGATATCCGACTTAACTATGATATAAATTGTAACTTTTATGAATGGTTATCTTAGCTGTTTGACATACTACTAAGATCGATTGGGAAAAAACATTGTTTGGAACAGTTAATAAAGTCCATTTTCTTTTTCAAGGACACCAGTCGGAACCTGCGACAAGTAGACCAGATGCTTGGACGGTATCGAGAATATAGTAATGGGCAGGCGGGTGCTATAGAACACGTAAGAATGTTTACATTTTTATACTTTCTCTTACCTACCATTTTGGAATGCAGAGTTGAGGAGTAGGGATGTGAGATAAAAGGAATAACCATTGTGAGTAGCTTTAGCTTTTAGACTGCTGTACTGTTTTGTAGTTTAAATTTAGATTAACTTGTCAGATGGATTGCTGAACAGTTTATATTGGTTAGATTCTATTGAATTAGAAAGCTTTTAAGTCAGAGAGGGAAGAATACAGGACCTGAATTAATCTGAGACTTACTAAATTTGGGCCACGGGTACCATGGGGAGTTAAGAATTTTAAGCATGGTTTATTTTAAAATACATGCTCATTGCTTAAATAAATAATAAAACTCCTGTCTCATCACCTTTTGAGCCCCACTCCAAAGAGGTAACAATTTTGACAGTTTCTTGAATATCTTCCTAAACATTTTCTATGCATATATTAGCATACATGTGATTGCTTTAATAACTGGAATCATACATAATGTTATACGACTTTTTTCATTTAGTAATGTATATCATTTTTCATATGACATATACCTCATTCTTTTGAACAGTTATATAATATTCTATAGTATAGATGTATCCAGTTTTTTGTTGTTATTATTGTAAATAATGCACCAGTGTCCACTATGGTACACATGTTTTCATGTACTCAGGTATGATTCCTAGGAGAGAGTGGCTGGGTTAAAAGATATGCACATTTACAAATATAGTAGATATTTCAAAATTGTCCTCTCAATGATATACCAGTTTATACTTACTTCATATGGGAATGGAAGAAGGAAACATACCCCAGAATTCTGAAATAAAATGAATATTTCTTATTAATATTTTTCTAATTCTATCTCTGTTATTTCCTTCTTTTGAAATTTATTAATTCATCTGTAAACTCTTGGAAACCCAATTAACTTTATTTCTTCATGTTTCCAATTATGAATATACATTTTGATAAGAAGACTAATATTACATTTGTACTATAACGATTGTTTTATATATATCCGCTGTACTGAATTGTCACATAACTTCCGAGTTGTAATTGATGATTTATTTGTACAGAAGAGAGGTATAGTCATCATTATTTGCTTGTAATTGGAAGCTAATTGCTTGTGCGTAGGGAAGCATATTTTCTCTCGTAAGGTTTTCTGTTAAATTTATTTAGAAAATAAACTTGGACTTTCTTGCAGCTATAAGATTTTTATGATTTATGATGTATTTGATAGATGGACTATAGATTTTGTGTTTTTGGGTAGCTCATGAATGCTGTAGATTTAACTACCTTTTTAATAATGGTAGTTAGTACTTTGCTTTTAAATTTATAAATGAAAAATTAAAACATTAACTAATAGCAGAGAACAATTCTACTTTGTCGTGTCAAATATTAGATGTTTGCTTATAATAGCCAATTTCCTTTGAATTGTGCCATTGGTAAATGAAATTATGTATTAAATAATCTTTTGTACAAACAAGCATTTAAAGTACAAAATATGTTCTACTATGGCATTAAGCCTTTATGATAGGCCTTGAATTTGAATAATACTGAACTTGGGCGGAGTGGTTTTATACATGGGAGGTAAATAATTTCAACACATACTTCATTTCCATCTGAGTTGTAGGTACATAGAATGTAAAGCCACTCATATAAAAAAATACAATACAGGAAAGCAAGAGTCTTTCTTTTTGCTTCAGGCTGTTCCTTAGTCTGGTCTAGAGTTTCTTCCTTAGTTCCTCCAAATTCTTGTTCTGTTAGAACAGTTGATCCTCAATGATTTTTACCTCAGCATCCTAGAGGAGTTTATCACTCATTGCTTTATATTCACTTAGTAGAGCAATGATCTTCATCCTGTCTCCTGTAAGTGAACCCCGGGGAAGCACCTGCTGTAATCTATGTGGAGATGGGCAACTTGGAAAGAGTACTTCTCGCAAGTGATTCTGATGGGCTACTCAATGAAAATTGCTTTCTTAGCATTAAAATATTTGCTGCCATATTTAGGAATATATCATACCTAAAAATGAGTATATGTAAGTGTCAACTGTCATATGATATATCTGAATCTTTCTATTTATATTCTTTGAGTCCTTTAAGTACATGGCAGTGCTATCCATTTTAATTTTGTTTTAATTAAGTGTATTCTGTTTAGGGAGGAACCCTGAAGATAGATTTTTTTTTTTTCTATTGAGACTAGAAAGTCATACAAGTCTTCTTGCTGTGGAACCTACTTTTCCCCCAAACATCCTGTAAGAGCTTAATTCATTTTAACCAATGTTCAACTGTTAAAAAATTTCTTTATGCTAAATATCCATTTCCTCATTGAAATTAGCATTTCTTTTTTAAAATATAAGAGATTTTCTAGAAAATGAGACCAACTCTTTTGATCTAGGGAAGACAAGAACTTTTATTATTAACTTAAATTTTATAAGTGATTCTATTGCTAAACTTTAGGAAATAAGTATAAGTGATATATATGCTTTTAAATATTTATTTTATTTGGATTTAATTTTGTGAACATAATTTGCCAATGAGTGAGGGAGGAATATAAATATCTGATGCAATGTTTTCCTCCTGAGATGATCTCTCTCCCCCAACAAGAGAACTGTGGGAATCCTTCCTTTTGGTTTTGTAAGGCCTAAAGGTAAAGAGTCGTGTTGGCTCACCTTTTTGACTCCTTTTCTTTGAGTTGTACATAATTTCACCAGTGTTCCCTTGAAGCCTACTGTCATACAAGTCATCAGTGTGACAGCTGGTACAATGTGGAGAATGAGAGATGGAGCAAATACAGGAACAGAACTGGGAAGGAATCTGGTGCTGAGCTAGAATTAGCATTGACGGATTGTCACGGTTGGCAGTTTTGGCTGCCCCTTAGGCAGTGTGGTGGATTCTGCAGTTTACCTACACCATCTATTTTTCCCTTTTTCCAAAGTAACAATTACTGATTTTTCACTGGCCTGTCTTGCAGCCTTTCTGGCCAATGAGCCATTTAGTTGGATAGTATGACTTCGGGTCTTTGGGCTCAGTGAACTTTATGAAACCTTAAGGAAGTGTTAACCTGAATTATTTCTCATGCTGTCAATTTCTTGGGAGGTCTGAGAACAGTTGAGTCAAAGAAGACCTGTGGGGAAGGATTCATTTGAAAGCTTACTTTGAAGATAATGAACATATCATACTCCCATATTAAATAGTGCAATTGATTAGCTTAGTGTTTAGACTATTTTAAGAACTGTGTGTGTACCTTTTCATGAAATAACAGGGTCTGTTTTTGTGTCAATGCTCTGAATGTGGAATGCCCTCAGAAAAGATTATTCAACATAAAAACTTAATACCTTCTGCAGTAGAAATATGGACTGAAGCTGATGAAGCTAAAGTAGTTAATATTGGGTATAAAAGAAAAATGCAGTTCCATTGATTCAAATCAGCTGATACATTCATTTTTAAGGTAAAGGTTGTTTAAAATATAGTAATATCAAATTCGACCTTAGAGGCTTGTATTAATAGGTAATTTTCTTTCTAATTAAATACTCTGATTAAAGTTTCCCTTTGGGAGTAATAGGATGTTACCATCTGGCACATGAACTTCGGAAGAGTTTGAATTTCAAATAATAAAGTCCAGGTTTTTCTTATATTCAGTGAGTTTCAGTTGTGAAACATACTTAGTGACACCCCAGAAGGATAACGTAAAAGGTTTAGAGCCTGGCACAAGCCACCTGTAATATCTCAAAGCTATAGGCATCAGCCTCTTATTCTCTGGCTGAGTTTTACTAATTGTCCTAAAGGTGAGAACTGGTCACAGTCTTTTAATAATTTTAGCGTTAAGTAGTAAGAGTCTATGGGTAAGAAATTATAATCAAATTCTGTTGGGGCCTTCTTTTTGTAAACACATTTCAGAACTTTGGAATTATGTTCTTAGAATGTTACATTTAAAATTTTATTACAAGTCTTTGAAGAATAATTTTGACAGAATTTTGCTTTAAGGATAGTGGAAAAATGTAGATTTTTGAGTCAGACTTCAAACTGAATTTTTTTTTTTCTGTTAGAAAGCACTCAATGACTTTGGGCAAGTTACTAAACCTTTTCGAACTATAGTTTCATCATCTTATAAATGAATATAATTATATAACCCTCATAACATTTATTGAAATGGTTACACTGTTTTAGACACTTGCTAAGCATTTATGTTCTTTTTATTTCTTTAATCCATCCAATAATTCCCCAACCTTTGAGCATTTGCTATGTTCTTAATATAGTATTTGGTACATTATAGGCACTCAGTATGTTACTTCCTTTTCCTTGAATTCATTGGCCTAACTTCAGTTTCGCGGGTGTATCGTCGTGACTATAAACAACATGATGTATTGCAACATTCGCAGTGATATGTGTATCTGATTATTTTGCTAGCAAAGTACATGCTAAATTGCACAGCATACAAAATAATGCTTTTTCTTCCTCTTATGTTTATGAGTAAATTGTCCACCCAAAATACAATCAGAGTGCCTTCCATTTTCTGTGAGCACTTATTTATTGACATTCAAAATATTATGTTGAAATATTTAAAAAACTCTTTTAAAATTGTGGTCAAAATGTCTGCGATATATGGCTTTGAATATAAGGGATTTCATTTAAAAATAGAATAGTTACATAAATAAAAATGGTATCATTGGAAAGGGATTTTTAAATTTCAGAAATTAATTATTATGGGCTTATGTTTCTATAAATCAGCAGGTGGAGAGAAGTTAGACATAGCATCCGGAGCTAATGATTTTTGGGTAAATAAAATAGCAGCAACCATTTTAAAAATACATTTTAGCAACAGATGATGGGACTAGAAAAGTGTGCAAACCGTAAATTTTCACTTCTATTTCATTCTATAAAACTCCTTTCCCCTTTTTCCTCCTCCTCCTCCATCTTATCTTCTCCTTTTAATAGCAGAAAATAAGTAGACTATAAGGAACCAGAATAGAACTGATAAAATTAGCTCTACAACCAATCTATTTTGCAGTTTGTG